TAATATAGGGCTGTGGGAAGCATCTGCTCCTCCAGAAGTTATTGGATTCTATCTCCCACTGGCCTGAGCCACTACAGTCAATAGTCCCGGAAGATGAACAACACCATTGGGTTCTGCAGCCCAGGCTGCAAAGCACCTGCCCCCTGTTTGCTGTTCCTTGGAAAGGTGATCGAAAAGGGTCTAGGACATCCTTCTCCTAAACCCACATTTCAGGAGTGAAGACTATTACAAGAGAGGTAAGTCAGTTTTCACTTTTGTTTAAATAACAGAAAGTTTTTAATCATGTTTTTAGCTCTTTCTTTAGAAATGACACCTTTCTGGGTCACATGCCACACAGGTGTGAAGAGGAGATAAAAGAGCTTGACTTCCATTTTCAACTAACTGCAGTTACTTGTTGTATCCAAACTCAGACCAGCACCTGAATTGTGGTTTAGGAAAACAAGCCAACTTCAAACTGTGATTTATAACCCTGACTTCTTTCCCTAAACCATAATTAACATTGACCACAGTTCTTTGTTTGGATTAAACAAGCAGCTATAGTTAGTTTACTACTTATTTCTAGTACATTTATATTCCACCTTCCCTCCTGTGAAACCAAAGCAGCATCTGTAGTCCCCTCCACCTCATTTTATCCCCACAACAATCCTGCAAGACAGATTAGGTTGAGAGATGGTGATGGGCCCAAGGCTACCCAGTGGGTTAGGAACTGATGGGGGATATGAACCTGAAACGTCCTGGTCATAGTCCAACATTATACATCCTTCATGACACTGACTCTCATAAAACACCGACACATAAAACAAAAACCTTCCATCTCATCTCTGTGGTGGCGCTAAAGGGGAGGGGTGTTCATGAGTTGAAGCTCACCAAGATTCGTCAAGTGCTAAACTGCAGCTTTTTTTTTTTTTGACCAAATCCAGCCATTCAATTCTGATCCAACTTGCTCGCCACCAGTGAAAGAACTGCCTCATTCAAAGACATCTCAGTGTTGGGATCTGTACATGTAAGTGCGCGCGCGCGCACACACACACAAACACACACAGCCCTCTGCAAGTTCATTCACTGGCCTTGCTTATGTGTCAAACACTCACACCACTGCTCAAGAGGCCTTCTTTCTGTGCTCTGTTAACTTGGAGATGGGTCTTTGCATAAAACAGCAATATCTCCCACATCCATATTTTTGCAAGATGATGTGGGCAGGATTAGGTTGCAGAACATCACATGGAGAGCCATCGCTGTGCTTGCTGCACGGCTGAGTCCATGCGTGTGCAATGAGCAGGACCATTGCTGTGAGAAGAGAGTTTATGCACAAGTTTCTTGCTGGCTGGGAGTGCTCAGGAAAAGGCATGCATACAGAATGGCCCCCAACTTCCACGATTCCTTTCCATCTGATCGATGTACATTTGGTTCACACATTCCTTGCAGCTGCTTCCCACAATTTTTGAGGCCTGAAACAATTCCTCAGAATATCTGAACCAGTGAACTGCAGTTTGTTTACTTACGCATTTAGGTTTATTTTATTCATATAAATGTTTGTAGCCCAAATAGGCTGTACCCCAAGGCCTAGGGTTAAAAGCTAAAACAATTGATCAATAATTGTACAACACCATTTGGAGAATGACAGGAAGGCCACACTGTGAAAGAACGGAACATTATTATTACAAGGCAGTTCATGACCACTGCACTCTTGTCGCTCATAGTTCTTAGCTGCCAATAAATAACTTGGAGGGTGGTCTGGGAGGAGCCCTAACTGGGCAGGAATCCTTAAAACTATCTCGGATCTGTTTCTAATATGCCCTCAGCACTGTTTGCTCGGCTGTTACATTCAACAGGGAGAATGATTCAGAAGCAAAGGTCATTGTATGACCTTAAATTAGTTGGCAGCAACACTTTGGGTAGCACAGCCTATTTCCACCATGCTGGGAATGATGGGAACTGAAATCCAACATATCTGGGGAAGGCGGGTCTGACTATTTTCCCTAGCTGCTCAAACAGGTTATCTTGGCAACCTTTACAACAGCGCTTTAAGCTATGGATTGAGGGGAGAAGGGGGCTAAGATTGAAAGAAAGCCGCCTCTTTGCTCAGCTGTTATTTCCAAAAGGGTCTTTCCCACGGACTGCACATCTTTTCAGCCACCACACTCTCAGAACAGGGACACCCGAGGACCCCTGCTCAACAACAGTTAAATGCAACAAAACATTGATCTGTGAGATACAATCAGAGAGTTGGAAGGGGCTCAATACCCCTGCCAAGAGAGGAAAACTACTGTTCCAGTGCTCCAATACAGCCTTCCAGCCCCTGCTAGCTGTTTAACTGCCACTTGTCCCAGCCATTAAGCAGCAGCCTGGCCGATGGGAACTAAATACATGAAGGCATTTCCAGTATGGAGGCAAGTGGCAACCGAAAAGCATCACCTTCATTTCATAATATTAGGCTGCTGCAAAAGGCACAGAAGCAGGGCTAACCGGAAGCAAAGGAAAGGTTGCAACCTCATAAAGGCACTTTGGCTCTACCGTCACTCAGCAACAGGAGGAAATACTGCCGTTGCAGGGTTCTACAATCTGTACACGTGACTGCCTGTTTATCTATTTATCATATTTATAATGTGCCCCTTGTCCTTCAAGGAACTCAAAGTGGTTCACAGTGGAACTCAAGAGTCAGTGACTGGCCTAAAATCACTCAGGGAGCGTCATGGCCAAGCGGGGACTAGAACATGGATCTCCTGAGTCCCAGCCAAAACTCTAAGCACTACCCTGTCCCAACTGTCAGAATAAGCTTTGCATTTCCTCTCACCAGTACACACCTTCCACGATGAGAACAAACACACTGAAGGGAAATTCTGGGGTATTTCCAGGATAATTTACTGAATACTGTTCTTCCTATGTGGAATATTTGGAGCAGAGAGCTAATCCTGCAGAATCCCTTAAGAATGTTGTTTCTTGTTCACATACCTCCTGACCTACAGTTTCTGATCAAGAACTTTGCCCCAGAAAGTAACTCAACAAGGCTTCTGGGGTCAGTGCACCATTCTCATTGATTAAGCATGGCTCTCTCAAGACTGGCAAATTGCCAGGGCTCAGATCCAAGGGGCAGGGAAACCTGTTGACCCAAGTCATTGATCATGGATGGGATTAAAAGCCACTCCGGATGCTCCGGTTTTCATTGAGAAAACCAAGACATCAGCTCATCTGTCAGCCACATGGTTGCCCCTCCAAGAAGGGTTGCTGCCTGCAGAGCAGTTCTGACTCTTAGAAACAACAGACACAAAGAAGAACAAAAATAGATTTTCTGAGTAACATGACACCATGCAAAACCAAATAAACTGAACGAGGCGTGGATGGGGGAGGGAGGGAGGGAGAGAGAGAGAGAGAGAGAGACCCCAAAAAGAAATGCCAGCTGGGGGTGGCACTCAGTCCGTTTACAACCTGCATGCTTTTGGGCCTGAGCTCATTCCCACTCTGATCCCAAAGGATGAGGCATGATTTAACGGGGCGGGTTCCGGCTGCAGGCTAAGAAAGGGAGATAAGGCACAGCTCTTTATTTAAATAAAAAGTGTGTGTGATTTCTGTTTGTAATACTGGGTTGGAACCCCTAAGGAGTTTAGCTTCCGGCTCGATTTTTGGGGGGAAAGGCTGCTTTTCTCTTCGGCTTGCATCTCACCTGCAGCGGGGACTAAAACGTGCACAACCACCACACAGTTTGGGGACATGCTAAGGAGCAGTTTTAGGCTGCAGTCCTACACACACATATCTAGGGTACCGTCACACTGAATTCATTAGGACTCACTTTGGAGTAGAGATGCACAGGACTGCAGTGTCCTGTTGTGAACCACGCAAGATCTCAGCCTTTCGTTGAAATAAACCAAAAACAAAAAATCCTTTACAGCCCTCAAGAGAGTTCCGTTCAAAAGAACCTCTTTCAAACTGAGCCACACAGACTCGCCTTCTCTCCCTCCGCTACCCAATGCTCAAACACAGAATGTCATGTTTAGATCACTCTGCACTGGAAAAAAACCACCACATATTCCAACAACAGAATAAGAAAAAAGTCTACCAAGGTATTTACAGACTGACAATCCATGTACATTATGAACTGGCCTTGCTTGCAGGACCTCCTTTTATCAACAGTTTCTGAAAAACTTACTTGAGGATCCAGCTGTGAGGCTGACGCTCTGGGCAGAGAGAAATCCCCAAAGAGTTGAGGCTGAGGCCTGCAGGGACTCACGCCACACCAGCCTTCAAAGGGGGCCACAGGTCTTAACGGCAACTGCTGAATGTTACCATTCTTTTGGCTATCCAGTAAGTTTCTGGGCACACTCTCGCATCAGCAGCCACCAATATTAGGAAGCTGTGCCTCAAATATGCATGCGACTGCCTCACCCCGTATGCACAAAATTCCTGTACTGGGACAACTGAAAGCACAACCTTGTCGCTTCTGATTTCAGGCACCACCCTCCCTCCAAAAATCTCAAGTTTCCATGTTACAATGGGTTCAAAGGGGACTATGTGGACAGCCGCCTCCTCTAAGTTCACTCTCATAGCTTTTGTTTCTAGGCTTCTTGGCAGCAAGAGGCATCTTGTTGTCAGAAAATTAGAGGAGCATCAGGCCTCCCCTTTTTGCTTCAGGAATTCCCACATCCAGGAACTGGCCCAGTTCAGGAGGAGGAGGCATGGAAATGCTCAGGTTTGGAACCTAATGGTCCATGGACCTGGCCTTCCAAATACCTGTCATACATGGACACTTCTTCTCTGCTGACAATGGAGCCAGACACCTGGATGCTCCATGGGTTCACCTCCCTTCGTCCCACTGAACCCCTCAAAGGAAACACTGAAGCTTCTTCAGATGTGTATTGGGGGGGTGTCCCAACAGTGATTGATATTATCTGTAGACAGCATTCACTTCTTACTGACTGAAATGCTGTTGAACAACTTAGGTAGCTTAGGCCGTATTTCAGTACATAAGGGATCTCCTAACAGGGTAGACTCAATTTGGGTCATACCTGAGCCCGGATCAGGGATTCGAAACTTGGCTTGAAGTAATCAATGCGGCTGCTGTAGAATTTGGGCATCTCTTCCAGAAGTTGTTTGTTCTTAGCCTCAAAGTCTTCTTTCACCGGCCTCAGTTCTTCCCGAGCCTGAAGGAACACAAAAGTTAGATGATCACCAAACGTCACTCTTCATTTCTTCACTGAGAGCCACTATGCCTATCTTCCAGGTGTAGGACCTACTACAGCTTGGCTAGAATGAGTGCTCATAATCCTTAACATGTAAAATGCACTCAGTCACTGAGCAGCTTTCAGAGAGAAGACACTAAATACTTGCCTCTTTCCACTTGCCACTAAATACGTGCCTCTTTCTCAAATCCTTTATTGGGTGCGTTTTACTTTTTTCATGTTTGCCTGGTTTGCTGCTAGTTTTGTGCCATTTTCCTACCAGTTCGAGATTTTTTCTTCTTTCATAGAGTGCTGACAAGAGTTCCTACTCAATCAAGGATCACATACCAAATATGACCGTATCATATTCCTACACAGCCACAAAGATGAACAAAGCTGATTTGCCTGTCCCCAGTGCCAAAGGATGCATGTCTGTGTAACTTTTAACATCATAAAAAATGTTTAACCTCCTGATCTTTTCAGCAAAGTCCTTCTAGAATTTTTCACTCTTCCCTGCTTAGTTATCAGGGACAAGACAGTTCATTTTTTCATTTATTTAGGTTTATGCGTGTATAAGTAACATTCTAAGCCTTCCTATTAAGTTTTTCTTAACCTTCATATAGTGATTCTTTAACACAAAATCTAGCATATACAGTTATGTAAGTTTTGCATTCTTCAGTTCTGTTGAGCGTGATCTCTTAGAAGTTCCATGCACGTGCTGGAATACAATGGCAGAAAGGTGGAATTGAAAAAAGTGAACTCTGTGACTTCAGAAAAAGTAACTGCAACGAGAACAGATTCACTTGGGAGCGGAACACCTAAGAATACATGTTGTTCTACTGGTGGTGCTGCAAAGGTATTTTCTCTTACAGTGTACAAAGCAGATTGCTTTAAGACAGGGAAAGAACACTAGTTCTCACCTCAAACTTGTCCTTAAGGACACTGAGAGAACAAATTCCTCAAGGAAGTATCTAGACCATCACTGGGGATGATGCCAACTCTCCCAAGGCATCCCGCCTGGACAAGTACTTTCATCTGTGCAAAATAATTCCCATGGCAACCACCAAAAATGCTGCCCTGCACCCAGGAAGCTTTCAGACCTTCTCTGTGTGTGCATCAGTACCTGGTGTAACTTGGACAGGATGGGTCCTGTCTTCTCCTTCTCTTCGTACTTCTCCACCTTGGATTGTAGCCGCTTATAATCCTGCAGAGCTTGCTCACGCCGCTTCACTGCCATATTCAGGCTGGGGAAAACACCACTGAATCTGCAGGAATTAAAACAAATCCTGTTTATAGTGCCTGTACTGTACTTGAATAGAAGCTGGTTGTTTGTGAATTGGAGGCAGGCTAGTTTTTCCAGTGACCTGCTTACAGTTTCACCTTATGGCGCTACACGTTAACTTCCCCGCTTCCACTTTCATCCCCTACTTTGTGAGGCAGGTTAAACTCCCTTGCCCCTTTGGCAACTCGGCTCACACGCTGTTTGTTTTCACAAATGTAAACTAGATTCCAAGCAGCATCTCGATTACAGCTGTTCAACAAGTCTGCTTAGGGAGTCATGTTAAAGTTGCTTTCTCAAATGTAGTCAAAGAGCAATGCTATTCGCTGGTGTTACATGTGACCCAGGAAATGCAACTATCACCTCAGAAACATAGAAACACAGAAACAGAGTGAGTCAGAAGGGGCCTCCCGGGCCACCTAGTCTGACCCACGGCTTTAGCCGGCTCCGCTCATGACATGCCTGCCATGTGCAAACTCGCACATTTCTCTTGGGATCAATCTACACCAGCATTTTACCGCAAAACGGAAGTCTAGTTTACTCGTGATGCACACAATGCATCCCTAAACCACTGTCCTGATGCCATTTGGCCCTTGATAGTCTACTGCCCTCCAAACTACTACTAACATGACTTTTTCTACGACTAGTTTCTGCGTGCTGCTGAAGGCATGTGGGTGCAAACTGAGCAGTGTGACGCTTGCCAGTGCAAGTGGTCTTAAATCTCCACTGCCTGCTTTGTGCATTTTTCTCCCACCTCCTTCCCTCCTATTCCCTGTTCTTGTTTTAAATAAACTTTGACAGGATTTATAATCACAGTGCTATCCCACTCCAGTATAGGTATAACGGACTTTTTCTGCACAAAGGAGGTGACTTATTCAAAATTTACAAACTTGCGGGGTGCAGAATATCAATGCTTTGCGTGGAATGAGACATGTGGTAGCTGAATGCAAGGCTGTTTAATCACTGCTACGCGAAATTGCTGAATTTCTCAATTTTTTTTTAAATAGAAGTGACTGTCCTGAAAGGTAAGCAAGCCTGTGTCCAAAATGACGCAAGAGCATGAGATGAACCATGGTAGCTCAGAACAAAAGTTCGTCTAGTCCGGCATACCGTTCCCACCATGGCCAATCAGCTGCCCATAGGAAACCCACAAGTGGGGCAGGAATGCAAGTGCACCCCCCCACCCATGCTCCCCAGCATCTGAAGTACACAGGTACTGATACTGGAGGGAGCATACAACCAGCAGGACTAGTAAGTGATAACCTTCCCCATTAATAACCACTCATTGGTTCAATCCCCTTTTAAAGCTATCCAAATGAATGGTGCTCAGGGCATCCCATGGAACTAAATTCCACAGTTCCTGCGGTATGTGCTACGGCATGCTTCTCTCTGGCATGCTTTTATCTGTCCTGAATTTCGTATCAGTCAGCTTCATGGATGACTCTGAGTTCTGGTATTACACTGCTCTACAAATTTTGGGAAATTATCGACCTCCGAGATAAAATGTGCTAATTCTTACATAGTTTGATTAGCTGAATTAGAAAACAGGTGATAAAGGTGCTGGCTGGCTTAAGTTTTCAAGATATTACACAATAAAGATTTATACACAGGCAAGTATATTTGCCTACAAGGGAGGGAGGTGTCTGATGATCATGATGCCTCGTAACTTCTTGACAAAGTACGGTAGAACAATGAAAATGGTACCACATGGAAGTGCATAAATTTATCTTCGCTTTGAGACTAAACATTATTACCTACCCATAATTTATTGTTCTTTGATTGCAAGGTACATTTGTCTTGGTCAGATCTACACATCATACAGTTACATCTGGTGGCTTGTGAAAGTGCCATTGCCTAACATTTCCAAGGAACAGTTGTGTGATATTTTCCCCCAGAAGCCAAGACACCTCGAAACTGTGTAAACAACACACATAACTTCCGCTACATTTGTGGCGAGGTTATATTTGCATCTCAAAAGTGCAGAATGACGGCAGTGGTAAAAAATGCAGAGCACCTACATTTTGGATGCAAAATAGGGGATCAGGACAAGAGTTGGGCCCCTCATTATTGTTGCATTACATGTGCCACTTATCTGCGTCACTGGCTAACCAAGAAGAAAACGTCCATGCCTTTCACAGTCCCAATGGTGTGGAAGGAACACACCAATCATAGCAGCGACTGCTATTTTTGCATGGTGCCCCCAATTGCAAAAGGAATCTCAAGAAAGAAGAAGTGGACCATGGAATATCCAAACATTCCATCCACACTGCATCCTGGACTTGCCAATTCCAGATCCACCAGAATCCGACTCTCTAGACTCAGTTGATGATAAAGATGGAACCTTGTTGTTTAATCTGATGTTAGAGCTTGTCAGTTTTTCATGGAAAAAGCATGAAAATGTTACATGAAAAACCAATAAATGAATGAAAAGTTATGTTATTGGTATCAATAAAAAGATAAATTTATAATGCTTGGTGTGGCACCATTCTCATTGCTATATCACATTATGCAGAAAAGTTATAATTGTACATCCCCCTCGTAATTTTGAATATTTTGATGCAATTTTAACCCGAAGCTGTATCTTGGAAACTGGAGCTGATTAATCATCAGGACTCAATTTTCCTTTATTAGTGACACAATTCTGGTAACATTTAGCTACTTTCATTTCTGAGGCTTTCTCCTTGTAGACCAATGTTATGTGAGAAGGAGAAAACAGTATATCCTCCAAACTTTCTCCATGCTATGCATAATTCTGTACACGTCCATTATGCCTCCTTTTACTCAGCCTTTTTCTAAGCCTAATGATCACAAGTGTTCTAACTTTTCCTCAAAGGAGAATTACTCCAGCCCTTTAGTCATTCGATCTGCCCTTTTCTGCATGTACCTCAATTCTACAATATCTCTCTTTAGGAGTGATGACCAGAACTTTACTTGGTATTCTAAGTGTGGTCACAGCATAGATTTGTATAGAGGTAGTGAAGTTGTCATATTCTGGACACATTGTGAGACTTGGTAAGGCTCCCTGGGGAAGACAGTCATGGTAGGGAAAGTCAAAGACAGAAGAAGACAATAACAAAAGGAAGACCAAGCAGGAGATGGATGGAGTCCACAAGGAAGCCACTGCCTTGCACTTAGAACAGCTAAGCAGGGCTGTCGTAGATAGGACATTTTGAAGGCATTTCACTCAAAGGGCCACCTTAAGTCAGAGATGGTTTGATGGCACACAGCAACATACTAAGCCTTAAACAACAGAGCGCCAGAATATCTAGCAGACCACCTTCCCTTACATGGACCTGACCTAACCAATCTTCAAGCTCACTGGAAGGGGAGTTGCTGATCGCTCAAGGATTATCAGAATGTTACCATGTAAAACAGCCTTCCTCAACCTTGTGCCTTCCAGACACGCTTGGACTGCAACACCCAGAATTCCCAATCAATGGTCCTTCTGCATGGGGATTTTGGGAGCTGCAGTCCAAATGCCTCTGAAGGCCATCAGGTTGGGGAATGCTGATGCAATAGCAGGCCTTCTCCATGGCAGCTCCCTTGTGCTGTTCCTGAGGCAGAAAATTTGGTATCTCTCAAATGCCTCCTGAAAACACACCTGTTCACTCAGGCTTTTCTTGGTCTGTAATTAAATTAACCATGCTGATTTGTTTTATGGCTTCTCCGCTGCTCTGTATAAAATTATGATTGTAATTGTATTGTATTGTTTAAAAATTACATTTTAAATGTGATTTCAATTATGATTTAAATATTTATATGGGATTTTAAAATGTTTAGCAGTATATAAAGAGCACAAACATGTACTTAACAAAATAAATAGGTTTTAAGCCATGCTCAGTTAAATTTATCAAGAGCTGGCTTTGACTTGTGCTTGAACTATCCCCGTGTGCGCTTCAGTGCCCATCATGGGCTCTGGGTGTGTGCACACACCTGAAAATTCATCTCTAAGCCAACAGGAAGGTCAAGCTTCCACTAGTGAGAGTGTGAGGCTGCCTAGGAACTCTTTGATCAACTGCCTGCGTTAATTGCTTGGTTCAGGATATCACTATTAACAGAAAAGGTCAATTTCTGATTAAACTAGTATAGCTAGCCAATCATGAAATTATTTAAATTATTCAGAACTCTCAATTAAAAAGGAATCAGCCAGTTAAAAAAAACAACAACAGCATGAATTTCAAGATGCACGTTGGGAACAAATAGGAGGGTAGCTGTATGTCTGTTCCAAGCTCTGAGAAAAGCATTCTGATTGCAGACTTTCCGGGGAACCCTGTTCAGAATATAGGATTCAACAATTCCCTGAGGCTGGCGAGGAACCACCTGGATTCATTACCTATTGGGAACAAGAACATTTAATCCACCAACCTTGCAAAGGCTGAGAAAACTTGAGACATCACAGCCTGCCTCCCTAGAGCTCTGTACAAAAGCTTGTGTATATGGCTGAAGGCACCTAGAACGGCCACACGGCTGCCGTAAGTAGCCATGACAGTAGCTAAGTCCTCAGGTGAGCCTGTTAGAAGGAAGTCCCAGCATGGAGAGTGAAGTCATCCAACTCAGGACACCTCAATGCCCCTTGTGCCAGCTCCGTCAGGGAGACCTGGCAGGCAGCGGGGTGGTCAGCACACCAACGGAACGGTAACGTGTTGCCAAGCAGACTCACGCGATGTGCAATGTACCTTGGTCAGTGATGTGATGAAGGAGACAGAGAATCCTCCTGGAGCACAGCGGGACCACTTCTCTGCCCTCTTTGCATAAAAGCCACAAAATACGGACCCCATAGCTACTTTCCCGTCTTCTTTTTTACTCTACAGTAGGCACAGGGTACCCAATCCACATCAGGTACTTCGTGTAGAAAGGGTTAAAGCCCCCCTACAGCCCATGTTCAAATACCGATGGAATCATCCAAACAATGTTGTGCTCAGGGTTCCTTCCACACATGCACATGTGAACATTTTCTAGATGAGGCCTCCATTATTGGAACCAGGT